AGGACCGATCAGCTGTTCCAGGGCAGATCAGTTCTCCTACACATACGATCTGCGATGCCAATTTGCCCTGGAACAGCTGAGAAATCGTTGGAATTCTTGCCCTTTTGCCGATCGCATATTCCACCGCCGAAAAAGTGGGATGCTTACAATCTTGCTCCTGACCGGGCCCCCCTCTGTTGCGGGCCCCATAGCGCCCGCATGGGTCGCTATGGCGGTAGTTCCGCCACTGGATTGTACATCAGGAAAAGTGTCCCCACTGGGGACATAGACAGCAATCAAATATGGATAAGGGTTCTAATTCTTTTCTTCAGTCTACTAAAAAGTACTTTACTGTTGTCTGTGTCCATGTTAGATGCATTTTCCCTAATGATCTACCTTGGGGACCACTGTAAGTAACTAATAGAGGTTCTAGCTATTTACTATACTATTCTAAAAAAAGTGTTGGTTGCCATGGTAAAGGATAACTATATGTCTTTGGAATAGCATGTTTAAGCAATCACCTTCTTTAATTAAGCACCTGAAAGCCCCACAGCTTGTGGTATGTATATTTTTTTTTTAATAGAACTGAAGCCAGGTTTTATGTATGAATATACAGAACAGCCCATTACCTGTACACATGACTGCAGCAAAGACCCAGCACTGGCCATATTTGACTGGGTGGCAGTCTGCCTTGAACCATTGTCTTAAAATGGCAACACTCCCATTCCACGAGGAAGGACAGGTGCCATTTTCATATTTTTCACTCCAGTTTCCTTGAATGACTCCATTATCATCATTGGAGTTAATCTAAATAATAAAGAAAATAAGATATTTGAAAAACAATAGTTATTGCAAAACAGTAAATAATAAACTAGGCAAGTTAAAGCCAGGCCATTGCACAAAAGAGTGGACAGTAAACTTTAGAAGAACACCCTAGTCCCATGTTCCACAGCAACCCTAGGATTGGATGTCATGTTGGGTGTGTGCCTTGCTGCTGGTCTGAGACAGCCAGCTCCTGTAATAGTGTCTACCATTATTTTATTGTAGAGAACAAATGTAATGCTTGGTAGTTGCACAGGAAATGATAACATGCCCTGTGCCTCATTGCCACAAATAGCAAAACAAATAGCTGTCTGCTAAGAGTTCTTTCTTCTTTTGTAAAATGTTGCTGAATCCGCAAGCAATCCATCCTTTGGAAAGTTGTATATGGAACCCCATTGCTACTCAGACGCTGATACTTCTCAACTCTACTGTTATAATGAAATATTGTAGAATACTGTCAATATTTATTCAACATACTGGAACTTCAACACTGTATTGTTTGTTCAGTGATTCCAATATATAAATATGAAAATAAACAATCTATAGTTTGTATGGAATGCTAATGGAAGGCTAACCAATCTAAGACTAGTTTTGTATTCTACTACATAGAAATGCTTTCAAGTGGAACTCCAGATAGCTCTAAAATCTCTCCTTGCAGTGGTCTCCTCTCCTTTGCAACGCAAGGGTTAAATGCACATTTTGTCTAGTGAGTTTGGGAGAACCATACTTACCTTGTTCATCGCTCCCCCAGCAGCAAACACTTATTTCAGATACTCCCAAACTGTGGGTGGGCCCTTGGCATCCTCGCATACAATACAAGACCACTGGTCCTGCATTGTATATGATGACAATGGAGAGCTGTGACCAGTGGAACAGGAAAGAGGAGCGGCTTGCAGGGGCTGGTTGTATGGAATGGAAGAAGCCTATGGTAGCGAGGAATAATGTAAATATTTCACCCTATCCCTCACCCCTAAACAAAACCGACATTGAACCCTTGCACTGTGAGGAGGAGGGAGGGGGACAAAAATGCTTTTTTAGATATAGGTGGGAACTGGCAGTCTAAACAAGCCCCTGGCTTTGATATGTCTTGGATGCACTAACAGTAAAATCTTTCTTTCATATGCCAAAAGTACTCTGCCACTGTAAAAAGATGCAGTTATTTTCCATCCCTGGCAGCGAAAGGGTTTAGGACTCATGGGAGTCAGGTGGATCACAATAGAAGGGAATTAGTGTAGCAAGACAGGGCTCTTCCCTCCAGGAGAGTGGTGCTGCATGGAGCAGTATGTATGTGTGAACAGACACTAGGAGAGCATTTGTTCTGGCCTTGGAATGAGGCACTTTGACCAGGCTGATGCTTGAGCAGAAAACTTTAGTCTGGGTCAAAACAGACTGAGGGACTAAGGAGTTCAAATACCAGGTTGAGGTCTGTGAGGAAGCTGGGCCTGTGTGGACCAAGAGGTAGCCAGGAGGCTGAACAATTTCTGTGTGTGGATTAATGGTGAGCTTGGGTTTGGTGTGAACCAATATCACCTGAGTTGGCCCAAGCCTCTGAAAACTGTGACCGACAATACTCCCTCCCAGCCCAAACAGTTGCAGCAGGCACATTCCCCACCCCACAGCCACACATCACAAACGGACAGCCAGGGGGCAGTCTTTGCCTCAACTACAGCCACTGCCGCCACTTACTGGGCCAGGAGAGGGAGTTTCGGTCACAGTGTATTGTAGGCTTGGATGAACTTAGACAAGCTGGGTTCGCGCAAACCCAAGCTTGTCACTAGTGTTGATGTGATGCTGCATCACTTATGAGGGAAAGTTGCTGTAAAGAACTTTTTGTTGAATAAAAGTGACCAAAAAAAGTCCAAATGTTGGCAAGTGGACTGTGTCCTTAAGAGCTCTACATTTGAAGCTCACCCACACACCACTAGGGAGTCTTTGGTGTTTGCACCAATCTTTGCAACCTTTGGAAGTGACAGCATCTCCTGTTGTATTTTTATAATATATAAAAAAATCAGGGAGGGTGGTACTCTCTCATAATAACCACAGCGGCATAGAGACCCTGCAACTCAAGCACAAAGATCTTAACAGAGCCCCCAAGAGATTTAAGAATTTGCATGGTATAATTGGTTGCCAGGATGCAGCCTGGCTGCATGACACCATTATCTGCTATGGTACCGGTGGCTAGCCTGCCCACACCATGGAACTGGAAATGTTCTGCTCCAATTTAGGAGGGGCGGTACAATTTATGGAAATCGGCTGCCAAGGGGTGCACAAGGGAAAAATTCATGCAGCATCAAAAATGCAATGCAAACATTTCTGTCCATAAATATAGTCTTGATATGGAATAAATACTACACCTTGTGATCTAATAAGTCAGTAATCATTGTATAATGTCACTGCAAACCAAAGTGCAGTGTTATAGATTACATATCAACATATTTTGGTACATAATCTCTTCAATTATCAAAGTTGTATACTCACCATGGCACACACTATTCGACTTATGTATACAGGATTATTTCTACTAGATAAATCCTTAAAAGCATCTTGTAGGTAATTTAAATTCTTGTCTAACAGCTTAAAGCTTATATCCAAGATGTCTTCTTCAAGCTGTAATGAAAAGTTGACTCAATATTAGAACATGGTACAATATAATATATGCTAAGAGTATTTCAAGAAAGCATTTGCTTTTTAACTGGAACCCCAATGGTGTGTTTATAAAATTTTCTCAGTGCCATTCACTCTGCGAACATCTGACTTTTCCCATTTGCATCATATTATGACCACCAAATGAAGATGAGGAACATAGGGATTTCCTATTCTCCTTGGCTCTATCTAGTGGCCATAAGGTGGTGTAAATTGAAAAGTCAAATGTTCCTAGGGCAAATGTTTATCCCATTTCCTGAAATCAGGACATACTGTAGATGAATAATCATTTATTTTCAAAGACAGCTTAATGGCAAGGAGGTGGGGCTTAGTCCTAGAAGGGGTGGCTTAACCTTGAGTTGTGCTTAGGATCAAAGGGGCTCCACATAGACAGTGGGATCGATTTTAAGACTAACGCAGGTACTTAAAACCATCCCTAGGTGCTGCACAGCACTGCTGTTACCTAATGCTGCATGAAATATGTAGAAATATTTCATGCAGGGTACTGGTTATCAGGGTACTGGTACATGGACACCTACATGCATAGGATTACTTAAAGCCAAACTTAAAGTAATTTTAAAAAACCAAAACAAATGAAAAAAGCAGCTCAGCATTATTCAACCCAGAATACTGAGGACATACAATGAATGAAGGGCATCATGGCCCCATCTCTTGAGAGAGCCTTCAGCGGGGGCCTCCTTCATTCAAAGTGTATTCATGGAAAGAGCAGCAATGACATCATCATGTAGATGCCACTCTGCATCACCACTGGAGGAGATCAGGAGCAGAAGAGTAGTCTGCCTTTTATGTGGCTGACATCAGGAAAACATAACATACAGCATGGGGAGCCTTGTGGTCGGAGAAGGGCACCAGAGCCCAGAGTTGGACTTTAAAGAGACAATGTCACCTTGCCCATTCAGATCAAAGTGACAGTGTCTGTGTAAAAGGGGCCTTTGACTAACTGATATTTCAGGGACCCGGAAACCTGGGAGACGTAAAACTGTTGTTTACACTTGTGGTTTTTACCGGTTGTGTCTTACAGAAAATATTTTGGCTTTATTTTTGTATTAAAGTTTTATATTTAATTAAAGAAAAGTTGGCTGCTGTGGCCTTTAAACTCCATATAGGTCTGGCGTGTCTTATTTGGGAACAAGGGAGGGTAAGTGTGGTGGGAGGACAGGCCACGGTAAGCAAGGTGGTGGCAGGTAAGAACGGTATCCCTCTAATATACCCTTGTCATGACATTACCTGCGCTCCACAGCCACTCTTTACTCTGTTTCATCGAAATTCGCAGCAGTGGCTGATTTGGATGCTGGGGGAGAGATGATGTCACCGCCATAATATGACAGTGATTGACCTCTAGGCCTGAGCACTGTGAAAGTAACAGTGTTTGTGGAAAGGGTCCATCTGACCCACTGATTGTGATCTTGCCAGGGCTCCCCTGCTGCTCCTTATCCATTGCAGATGGCACTAAAATCCTCGGTTTTGGCTGGTGTCGGCTACAAGGGACTGTATTGTCACTGGCTATAATGGAAAGTTCAGTGGGGAAGTATTGGCAAGATGAGTATCAGTGTATTGAAGGGGCCCCTTTCCATAGACATTGTGACTTTGTCCTGAATGGGCAAGGTGCCAGTGTCTCTATAATAAAGCAGATCAAAAGACAAAGGGCAAGAAGGGTGAAGTGGAGCAGCCTGTAGCATTTAATCATAAGTTGTCTCTTGGGACTCATCTGACCACAATACTGCATTTTGTACAACACCATTGCATATTATACTGTGTTATTTATTTGAGCCAAATTATCCTTTTCTCCGTCCTGCCCGCCGATCCTTCTGTTTTGGAGGGGTTAGATCATGCATATACTGTAAGTCCCACTTCCCTTCACTGTCCACGGATGGTACAAGCTGTGAACCTCAGTCAATCATTCTTACTGCATCCATCCCTGCTAATGCAGTGTATATTTGCTGCTCCGCAGTAAAAGGAATACAATATTGTTTCATAATTCCCTATAAGTTTCCTGTTAAAAGTATACTAGTAAGAGCATAACTGACATTATTTTATAAAGAGAGTAAATCAAACACCATGTACCTGCCCAAAGTTCCATGGAGAAGGAGTGATCCAGTTGTGGTTGCCTTGATAAATAAACCCGTAGTCATTAATGATGTATTCCTGCCTCTTGGCTTCATTATCCAGGAAGACGTCATCATCTGCCAAGTTCAGGCAAGACATGAACTTACAAATTTCAGGCAGACACTAAAACAAGTACCATCATACACACATAATTGTCTTGGTGTATGTTATTTTGTTTTCAAGGCTATCATGTCATTTTCCTAAGCCAGCAATTGTTAGATTTTTGCATTCTCATCAAGATTTCACCAGAAGTGATTCAAGTATAGGCAGTGAGACATTTTATAAGGTATTTTAATTCTGCATTTTTTTAAATTTTCAAATACAGTATATGTTATCCTACAAATTAAAATGTAATACATTGCAGCTTGTGCAGAGGCCAGGTCTTTTATTTTCACCTGGTCAGGCTGCCAATTAAACTCTTTCTGTCCTTGGGTGACGATACACACTGACCATACTTGTATCTATGGAGGATCAGTGTTGTCAGCCTAGGACAGGACCACAAACATATCCACTTCTCCATAACATTAAGGGGCTGGGATTTGTAGTGCATGAAGATTACTTGGGAACAATGTAACTGATGAGCTCAGGTTCGGATTGAATCCGGTCCAGACTTGAGTTCCTCCAAACAGGGTAGTACCATGGGCACTTCAACCCAATCAGCTGCAGTACGGGCATTTCCGTATGTAAAGAAAAGGGACAGGAAGCTTGTGATGACATAATTTACTTAAAGTGACATTAAACCCTCAGATTTTTTAACATAAAACAATAGTGTAATGTGTGCCTTACTGTAATCCATGGTTGTTTCCCTTCTCTTTGCTGCTCTTCCTTTTAAATATGTATCTGTTCTCATGCTTGGAGATAACTTCCCTTTTCAGCTCAGGGCCTCTTCCTGTAGTGCTGGCTCAGGTTACAGCCTATACACAGACACCGTGTCTGACAAGGCAGTCTGCTGAAAAGGGAAGTTCTCTCCAAGCATGAGAACAGATACAGATTTAAAAGGAAGAGCAGCAAAGAGAAGGGAAACAACCATGGATTACAGTAAGGCACACATTACAGTATTGTTTTATGTTAAAAAATCTGAGGGTTTAATGTCACTTTAATATGGCAACATAGCCATATTAGGTAAATATAATTTACCAAATATAGGCATGTAGCCATATATGGTCAATTACATCACTGAATCCCACCCTTTTGCTCACATCAAGCTGTGGATGAGGAATTCCCCACCAGCAGGTGATTGGGTGGCATGGAAGGAACTTCTTTCTGGGTTCGGGAGGGGCTCCTTCCTGGCTCTTCATCTCATTCCTACTGATGGGAATACAGCACAGTAAGAGAGCTCAGGAAGCTCTCAGCTCATAGGAGTTCTGACAGGATCAACAGGTATGTTGTGCACATCTCAAACATATGTAAACATTCATTCAATGGTGATTTTAGCAAACCAAAAGAGGGCAAATAAAAGAAGTTAATTATTAGAGTTTGCATACACTTCTGAAAATACTGTTTTCTTCAAAATGTGTATTAGGTACTATTTGTAACTAAATCACTCTGAGAATAAAAATCTAGTACAGTTTCACTGAAACTACAAAATCTTTCTTTAAGTCAATTATTGTATAGTGTGGAACAGCTGTAGCCAATTCTGCATACCTGGCTTTATATTATAAAGTTCTTATAATATAAAGCCAGGTATGCAGAATTGGATATAGCTGTGCCACACTACAGAGTGTTCATGTTCTTCATAATAAGTCGATAGATTGCATGCAGGTGTACCTGGAGGTAGCCTACTCCTCCTAATAAGGTGCAGGTACCTTATTAGGAGGAGTAGGCTACCTCCAGGTACAGGTCAGAAAGACTGGAGCAGATGACAGAGGAGGTCGCGGCCATCTTGCTTGATTGAAGACGCGATGGAGGTCCTGTGTGCGGCGGATCCGGGTCCCTGAAGATGGTGGCCGCGGCACAGGTACTCGTTTTATGTTTTGGAGTATTTGCACGAGTACGAGTACTCATGCAAATACTCGGTATCGCGGCCGATACCGATGCTTGTATCGGTATCGGTGCATCCCTAGTCAATATGTACTGTTGAGAATGTAAGGTACATGTGGACAATTTAAAATTGCTGCTTCTGTATGTGACCATTCCTCTACTGTGAACAGGCATAACCAAAAGAAGCTAAACTCTAATCGCATCATCCAATAGGAGCCTTTCTTCTCTGTCCTTGCTAGAACCACTGCAAGTCAGAATGATGCATATAGGGACAAAGTGGAGTTAAGATATGCACTGTATGGGCTTAGCCAATTAAATCTAATTTACTGATGGCAGACTGATACAATATCAATTTAGATTGGCTGCTATGATCACTGCACCTTTTACTTTTTTTGTTTAATGAGTCTATTATGATACTCGGTGAGGGCCTAAAACAGTGGTTCCCAAATTGCGGCCCTATGCTGGTCTTTAGGACACTATTCCCCCACTGACACCTACAGTGGAACACTATTCCTCCCACTGACACCAACAATAGACAACTATTCCTTCCATTGTCTCCAGCAATAGGCACTATTGCTCCCACTGACACCAACAATGGAGCACTATTCTTCCCATTGACACCAACAGTTTGCCAATTCCTTCCACTGATGCCAAAGAAGGAGTACTATTCCTCCCACTGACACTAACAATGGGGCACTATTCTTCCCACTGACACCAACGTTTTGCCAATATTTTTCCCACTGTCACCAGCAATGGGTTCTATTCCTTCCATTGACACAAGGGATGAGGCACTATTCTTCCCACTGACACCAACAATGGACCACTGTTCCTCCCATTGTCTCCAGCAATGGGCACTATTGCTTCCACTGACTTCCTTCTACCAGCCAGCTGCTGTCAGAATAACTGACTGCAAGCACCATTGGACCGACCGATTGTACCTTTGTACCAGCATATACCTTTGGCAAAAGTCAAAGTAATTTATTAAACATCTGTTGAAGGGATGGGCCACCCACGGATCGAATTTTGCCTGATTCCTGCTGAATCAGGCAACATTTGCTCCATTTGTACCCAGCTTAAAAATGGGGCAATTTTACTAGCACTGATGACCAACCCTGGGGCATTTTCTAACCAGTTTCCACCAAGCCAGGGGGTTGTTTACTCTCACTGATCACTGATGTTTGGGCATTTTCTACTCCCACTGATCAGTCTAGCTCTCCTAAAGTGTAAAAAACAGTGACCTGGCTGTTTGTTTAGAAAGTTTGGAAAGCCCTAACTCGTTTTTCACTGCTTGTGATGTTTGATTGCTTCTTCAGTATGTGAAGTAGCTCAGATCAGTAATTATAACCGTTATAATTTTGTTCACTTGTTTCACATTGTTTCACTTGACGCTACTGTGACAGAATCCCTGGCGTTTCTTCTTTCTGAATAGTGCCTCTCTCGGGGGAAGAAAACTTTTTTGTGACCTGTGTAAACTGACTAATTTAGATGTTTCCCATCTCTCCTAAAACTGTAGAAGAGAGTGGGGTGCGCGCCCCGAAACGTTGCACTGAGTGTATCATGCTATGTTTCATGCGTCAACAAAATAGACGCAATTGATTTGCCATTTGGAGTGCCGGTGTCTATATTTCTACTTGTGTGTTTATAGAGATGCACACGCTTACTAGCACACACAAGGGTGGCTCCATAGGACCCTGCAAAGAAAAGGAGCCACCCTAAACCAGGAAGTCAGGGCCTATGCTCAGGGGACCAACTGATTCTGCAGGAAGCTATAACTTTTAAACATCAAGGAGCAGCATCCATTGTAACTAATTTAATCATTACTTGAAATAGCTTTAACACCTTTTAACTTTAATATCACTTTAAATTATATGTTAAAAAGAACAATGTGTTCTCTTTTAATATTTTTGACATACCTGCGCACCAGGGGTTGAATAGCAAAGCAAACACTCCTAGCTGATAAACTGTGGCTTTTTTACCCATAGAAAATTGAACCTTTAGAGAGTATTGTCCAATAATAGCATTGGATGACGGCATGATGACCATCACCATTGAGTCGGATCCATTGGACTCCACCGCTGCGCTCCAGGCTCTTCTGTTTAAAGCCTTTGTTATAGGGAATACAACTTTTGTTCCAGAAGGTTGGTCAGGCCACGGTCCTTTTAACACAAAACAGTAAAAGTATATGAATATGGGTGGATCAAGGAGAAGACTCACTGTGAAAGCTCACTATTATTCAACATGTCATATTAAATTTTTATATGTCACAAGATGTTATTGTTTACTTTGCAGATCTTTCATTGTTTCTCGGTGAGAGATCACTTGCCTGTCTCAGCAATGCAGAGAATGTTGTCTGTCCCTTCTTCAAATCCTCTTGTTTTGAAGTGTATGACTATTGAAAACGGCTGTCCTCTGCGAAGGATAAGACGCCTGTCGCTAATTTCTATCGTATGATGCAATTTGTTGTTCTTCTGGCATTGAAAGTCCGTGTAGGCCACATCCAGTACTAGAAAAAAAAATATAAGACTGCTTAAAAATACCGGATTCAGATTCATGATGAAGTTTTAAATTGAGGTTAAAGTAGAAGTAAACCCTAACTCAATATTTTGTTTTCTAGAACACTGTGTCATAGACAATTGTCATTTAAAAGACAAATAAAATACTGTTTTCCTATTTTCATCTCAGTTCTACTGCTCTCCTGCAGCCTCTTTGTGTCCTCTTTTTGTCTACATGCACTGTGGCAATGGCTGAATGGCATTTCTCAGAAGGGCTTTCTGATGGTGACAACAGTGGCTCATTTCTGATCAATGTATGCTTGATTTAGAAAGCACTGAAACAATTGGATTTGCATACTGGAACTAGCATTTTCAGAAGTAAAGGTCAGCAATGACAGGTGTGTTCCTCGCAGTACAAGGATAAGTGCCCTGGCAGTCAGTGCACCTCCACCGCCATGTATGCACCACAATTTACATTGCAGACCAAGACCCATCAGCAGACTGGCGTTTAAAGTGGAACTATGGCCTCCAATTAAAAATACATGTGCTGCCACACTTAAAGCGGACCTTTATCCATACACTATCTTTAAAATTACAACAAACACACCTTTAGAAATGTTTAGTAATGACAACCTGCAAAAAGATATTTCTAGATAATTGCAGGATTTTTATTCTTTGCATACCTTATTTCTCTTTTCTTTCCCAGTCTTCTGACAGTGGCCATGTTTACTGAGGACAGGTTACTAGCTCTCCTTCACTTCTTGGATTTCTGGCACATGTGATGAGACATGTGACTAGGACATGTGACCATGCACATCATCTCAGGGGAGGAAAATGCCTTTCCCTGAGATCTCATGAGATTACAGATGAGATTTCCCAGCAAAGCTCTGCTGATGACAAGGCAATCCCAGCGTGCATTGCGTTGGCAAACTGACGTCATTTTGCCTTTTCAAAGCAGGAAGTGAATGCCCTGCAAGTGTAAGTATTTTAGAATCACAGCATTTTACACCTGGCATTATTATTAGTCATCATACATAGAGGGATGCATTGGTAGAATTTGCTTTTTGAGTGTAAAGGTCCGCTTTAAGTATAAGGGCAGCTGCACTCAAAGTTTTCTTTTAGCTCTCATGCAAAGTCCAACAAATATCAGTTGTGTTTCCCAATTTAGTTCACCTAATGCAGCTTCCTGTGATGGGGTGGCAATGTTGCTGCACTGCTCCTGAATTCACAGCAGAGTTGTCACTCTCACGTGTGTGTGCATTGCGATTAAAATGTGTTGAAGAGGGTGTGTACCTGCAATTAGCTTGTCAGTTAGCACCTGGCCACACCAGCACTGCCTCTGTTGCTGAAACCCTCCCACTGTGAGCTGCAGTGTCTGGGAAGGTGAGCATGTGAGACACAAATGAAGGAGGATTTGTCACCATCAGAAATGTAAAGGAGTTTTTTTGTTTACTTTATAAGGCATGTGCATCACATAATAACTGGATTTAGTACGTGTATAAACTCTCATACAGGAACATTTAGCTGTACTTTATCTGAAATGATTAACAACTGTGGCACACATGCAAAAAGGAAAAAGCTGTGTGGTGGTAGGAAGTTCACCAGAGTCTGGTTTAGATCAATAAGGCTCACCACACATTTTACAATCTGACCACACAATCTCTGTGCAATTCATTTTAGATCTACCAAAACTATGTAATTTGAGGACCTAACTAAACTATCCAATCAATTTGTATCTATTCAGGCAGACCCATGTACTCTATAGACCCATGTACCCTATTGTAAGGCCCTGCTACTATGTGTAGGGGGTGTAGTACCCTTAGTTTTCATCGAGGTTCTCTCTCTGCCAGTAAGAAGATATATATAGCAGGAGGAGTCTTCCCAAGGGGTCTTTGCATAGCAGGAAGCAGAGAGAGAAGGAAACAGAAAGAACCTCTTGTGTGCCCTTGTGGCAAATACAGGGCTGTACCTAGTAAGATGTAGCTTCCTGCATTTTTGGTGTTCTCTTTGTTGGAAATACTGCAGCATATGCTGATATGTACTGTTGTATTTCTGACATTCTGATGTGTACTGATATGTCTTTTGAGCTGTAGATGGTGCTGTAGTGCAGTGTTAGTTATCTATGTGCATGCTTATCTATGATACAGAGGAAGCTGTTTTTTCTATCTATATGTTTCCTGCACAATGCTGTATTCAAATATAATGTTCTTCTAAGCCAGTAAAACTTAATTCAGCATTCGTCAAGATCCCAGTGCTTCATCTAAACACATAACCAACACTCTTTAGGGGAATGCTGTTGTTCTTCTTCCCTAAGTGGGTCTACCAGTGCAGCGGGACACTCTGTTAAGAGATCACTCCCTCCTGTAGGCACAAGTCCAAGGTGGACTGATAAGAGACTTGAAAATGTAAATGGAATGTTACTTTGTTCATCAATGAAATAAAAACAAGACAAATTTGAGATAAGTATGGCCTGAGTCTCTTCATTCCTGTAAGGAAGTGTGGCCCATATCTGGAAAATGGAGCAGCCGGTTTGGGGCAGGAGTGTGTGGAGATCTGGTGATGGCAGGTCTGTCAATTGCACTGGCTCTGTAGGTTCCTCTTAATTATTATCGGTATTCATATAGCACTGACAATTTACACAGCACTTTACATAGTGCACATTCACATCAGTCCCTGCACTCAAGGAGCTTACAATCTAAGGTCCCTATCTCACATGCATACAGGGCAGATTTAGAGAGGAGTCAATTAACCTTCCAGCATGTTTTAGAAATACAATAGTGAATTGTTGCCTCAGTGGTCTCCAGGTGTAACCTCTCCCCCTTTAGGTTATAACCATTTGTAACTACATACAGAAAAGTGTTTTTTTTTTGAGAGGTATAACACCAAAACTTGATTTAATCAATATATAAAATAATTTTTATTGTACATACATTCAATATAAAAGTAAAAACATGTATACATTTCATTGCGGTACAGTCTAAATCAATAACATCTTGTACATGATTAAAAACCAGTTGCATCCTAGCTCCAATTCATCTTGTTAGTCATACATATTTGGTTGGGAAATCCATATATCCAGTCCCTACGCGTTTCACATACTGCTTCCTCAGGGGACCATGGATCTATCTGATACAAAATTTGTAATCTTCAATAGGTTGGTCTAGGTAATGCAATACATAAACCCATTCTAAGATTTCCACACAGGAAGAATTGTGCTCTTGGCGGCTCCGCCTCCGCCTCTTAACAAACAGAACAGGAAGTAAGAGGAAATCTCCCCAAAGTGAGGGAAATTCCATGCTAAGCCTTTTTACTAGAACAACCCATTGGAGGATTTCTCATCACTTCTTGCTGTCATACAAACTCAAAAAATTTGGATTACCTTTTACTTTCTGTCTAGAGAACAAACAGAGGTGCAAATTTCCCCAGCGGGGACACCGAGCACAATACAAACTTGGCAGAAGGTTTAACCCCTTGCCCAATCCATCTTAATAATTCTTAAGAGGGTATGGCGGAGGAGATGAACAGTGGAGGTGAGACGCAGGTGCAAGGATCACAAACTGACGGACGGGACATACAGGCTAGACACTGTGAATCCTTTCTACCTGGAAGGGGAAGGTATGTGGACAACCTTAAATATAAGAGGGATAGATGATAGGGCAATGTTACCAGCAATGGATAACCTCCCATCAAAACATATAAGGGAATGAGTGGAGCTACAGAGGGATAACACTTTTTTGTAAAGGGGGAGTTTGTTGTTTTTTTTTGCTGTGCTAATGAATGTGATTTGGCCTCATGTGAGGTATTAAATGTGTGTGCAGGGAGAAAAATATAAATAAATAAATGAAAAAATAAACACAAAAAAGAGAACTATGGGGACACTAAAATGGGCACACCATAGGGAAACAAGTATTTAGAGTAAACAAATATAACACTGGTTAATAGGTGCATGTTCCACCCACACTCAGGCTATTTGTTCACCTGAACTCACTATTATGATCATTTTTTGACAATATACACTTACAGTATCAAATACAAATGTATATGGAGGGAACACTGGAAGGGGTATATACCCCTTCCCCTATTTACCAACCTTCACACAGAATTAATCACTGCAATCTTTTTTCTTTTCTATTACATATATTTTCACATACATTTTTGGTTTATATCATTTCACTTATATTCACTCTCATCAGGAGGTTTCTCTTAGTGATGGGGACATCATTAAAGAGAAAAATATGTGTTTACAGGGAAGGTATATGGGTCCACTAGGGGAGATAGGAGAATGAAAGGTCATCTTGGGGTATTTATCCACATGGTACCTACAAATATGGATACACACACACATATATGTGAATGTAAACATGCACGGCAAGATGCATGGTTTCCCACATATAAACCTAATAGCGCAATTAATTTTTCAGTACAGACGACCCTCCAAAAACTGTTCGATCCTGAAGCGTCCTCTCCTGTGGCCCCAGGGTCCCCTTACTGACCCCCGGACGTAGTGGTTACTTTGGGATTTTACTATCCCTGTCCACAATCGGTCTGGGAAATCCTGCTCGCATCCAGAAATCCCACTGGGTGGTAAGTGAGAGGTGACTGGGTGTGGGGGTGATGATGGTGATGGGTGTCCCTCTGTCCGGCGGAGCCGCCAAGAGCACAATTCTTCCTGTGTGGAAATCTTAGAATGTGTTTATGTATTGCATTACCTAGACCAACCTATTGAAGATTACAAATTTTGTATCAGATAGATCCATGGTCCCCTGAGGAAGCAGTATGTGAAACGCGCAGGGACTGGATATATGGATTTCCCATCCAAATATGTATGACTAACAAGATGAATTGGAGCTAGGATGCAACTGGTTTTTAATCATGTACAAGATGTTATTGATTTAGACTGTACCGCAATGAAATGTATACATGTTTTTACTTTTATATTGAATGTATGTAAAATAAAAATTATTTTATATATTAATTAAATCAAGTTTTGGTGTTATACCTCTCAAAAAAA